CCTCTCAGTGGTCTCTGGGGCTCTGTGCCTCCGTTTCCTCATCTGTGAAACGGGGTGGGCGGTGGTATCAAACCGAGTCGCCGTGTAGACTGAGATGGAAAGTTTCGAGTGGCAAGGTCGGTTCTGACTCACAGCCACCCCGTGTCCATGAGAACGGTGCCTGGCGGATCGGGTTGGCGAGCTGGACGCCGACTGGCAGTGCGTGTCCAATGCTTCCTCGTGTCCGCTGTGTGTCCCCCTTCTCACCTTCACCGGCTTCTGGGTAGGGCTGACCAGGAGCTGGAGGGTCTGAGTAGTCCCAAACAGAATGGACTCTTCTGGCCTGAACCTCAGGCTGCTCTCCGGGTTTGGGGGGTGTAGCCCTTAGAGCCCCCAACTCTGCTGCTCCCTTCTCCCTGCTGGGCAAGTTTGTGCAGGGGAGCAGCAGGGAGCCAGCTTTGTCTGCAGCACCCTCTGCTGGCCGCCAGCGGTGCACACCCAAACCGAGCTCTTGCCAAGGGCAGGGTAGGTCGGACTGCCCCTGCAGGTTTCTGAGAGGGCAACTCTGCCCCAGTGTAGAAGACCCCGTTCCTCCCCCCATAGACAGAAGGGCCATTTCAGCAGGATGCAGAGCCCCAAACCAAACAGTAACTACAACAAATCAGTGACTCTCAGTCAATGCCAACGCTCTGGCAACCCCATGCAGATGGGAGCAGCGCTATGCTCTGTGGGGTTCCCGGCGTGCGTGCTCTGGGAAGCAGACCGCCAGCCCTTTCTTCTAAGGCACCTCATGCTGATTTGCACCACCAACCTTTGGACACGCAGCTGAGCGCTTAAATGCTTGTGCCACCCCCGCCACTGAACAGAGAGCCCGGAATATTGCATATCCCACTTCTGAAGGGTCCCGCTTGGTCCTCTTTGGTCAGTCTGAGCACCCCTTTTCCCACGGAGACGGGGAAGGCTAAGGCCAGGAAGCCCCCAACAGCAGGAAGGGCAAGGCTAGGCAGTATGCAGCACAGCCTGGCGGGAAGAGTAGGCGCGTATCTGCAGTGGTTAGAGGGACCTTCGCGTTGGTCCCAGCCGCTAGCGACCCTGTGTACAGTAGCAACACTGCCCGGTCCCGCTCCAGCCTCAGTTGTTCTGGGCTTGAGGCCATCAGGGCAGGCACTGTGTCCATCCATCTCTTGGAGGGCCTGCCTCTCTTCTGCTGTCCCTCGACTTCCCGACTTCCCCCGCATAGTGACCCTCTAGGGCCTGGTCTCTCCTGACCACAGGTTCACAGGGAGGGGCACCCACGTGGAATCTGTTGGATGGATGGGTTTACTGCTGAGCTGCAAGACCAGTACACCCAGTGTACATGTGGCAGTCCACAGCCGCCCCGGTCCATAGAATTTCTCCTCTGCCAATGCCTGAAGCAGATTCCCCACCTCCACATGGGCTGACCGGAGTTAAAGGTAAGAGTCTAGTTGAAGCAGGAGAAACTGAAGTAAGACTGCTACAAGGACTGTCTGGAATGTGGGGCTGGGCCCGGTCTTGTCCTTTCAGTCTCTGGTGTGGGCAGGATGTCCCTGGGGCCAGCCTGTAGGAAGGATGCTTCTTCCAGAGGGCAAAAGGGGGGCTTGGAGGAATCACCCCTCTGGACTGGGGGGAGGGGAAGCGGCCGTAGGAGAATCGTGGTCAGTTTGATTGCGCGGTCGAGAGCCCTGTGGTGCACACAGGCTGCATGCAGCTCCGTGTACTGTGCAGTTCACCTCGGTGAACATGCAGCTCCGCTGAGGGCTGGGCCACGAGAGTACCCATTGCTGTCTCACAGTGCCCCAGCAGGCCTCTGGCTTGAGGACCCTCCTGGCCAGACTGCCCCCGGGTCCCCTCTCTAAGTGGGGAGGGGGAGTGCATGCCAGTACCGGCTACGTGTGCCTAGGGCTAGGGCAGTGTGGACTGAGGCTAGAGAGAAGAGAGGCGACAGGCCTGGGAGCAGGTGCAGGCTCAACCAACCAGAGATCTCAGCCCCTCATTCCTCGGACATGGGCTTCAGGTGACTGAGTCCTCTCTCTCTCACCACCCCGAACCCCCACTCCTATCTGGGTCGTCCTGAGAACAGAGGCCTGGGAGTGCCTACCCCAAGTGGGGTGCCGAAAGGTACCTGGGGACTGGCAGAAAAGGCTGGGGTCGGTGGAGCCTCAGAACGGGATCCCCTGCTGTATGGGGCATGCTAGGGAGTCAGGATGGGACAGACTTTAAGGGCTGGCGTGGTGGGGCTGAGGGGGCTCAGGCAGAGCCCAGGGCTCTCAGCTTGGGCGGTGGTCCTCTCTGCATGGGCTTCAATAAGCCTCTTCCCATGAGGATCCCACCAGTCCTAGTTACTGCACACACACCCATACACATGGACTATCTCCCAATGTCGTGTGTGTGTGCGCGTGCGCTTGAGAGGGAGAGTGCTGTCCGGGCAGCCCCAGGAGGCCATGGGTGACTGACCCAGGCATCTCCAAAGGTGGTAGCCGAGGCAAAGGTCAGGCAGCAGGCGTCCTACTCCTGTACTGAAAGTACTCGAGACCGCGGAAGAACCGAGGAGCCGTGGTGCTGGGGCGATCACAAGAAGACCCACTTGGGAGAAAATTCCAAAGAATGCAGGGTGAGGTGTGGAGTGGGGCTGGGGGTGCAGGAGGTGGGAGAAAGGGGAGCCACATGCTGCCCACCCAGTATTCACTGCACGCTGCAGGGCCCTGCAGTCCAGCTGGTGCGGCCCAGGCTCCCGGCCCCAAGCAGAGACCTTTTCCAACTGCGATGCCCCAGCCCTCCCTCCACCCGGTGACACACGCAGGGCCCAGTGACTAGAGGACGTTTAATATTTCTGTGCTGGTCAAACGGAACACAGGTGGGGGTACACGGGATGGGGGGCTGGGGGACGCCACTCAGGAGGGGTGGCTTTTGTGATGGGCTGTGTGGGGGGTCTTGGGAGATATCCAAGGAGTCTTCTCGGCAAAGGGTCCTGGCCTGGAGTGCACGGGAGCTGAGCACACCCAGTCTTGCCCTTAAGTTGGGGTCCCCCATAGGGGGTCTGTGGAGGGTCTCTGTTTCCAGCTCCGTTGCTGGAATCCACACTTCCAGCGTGATGGGGGACTTGGTCCTAGAGAGGGGTCTGGAAGGCACCCTAGGAGCAGCCTAGGGTGGGGACTAGGGTGCAGGTGTCCACTGCCCAAGGGGATGTGGACCCTGCGGGGAAAGAGGAGCATGAGGGGGCTGCCCACAGCCTCCCCACTGGGCTGGGTAATAGCAGAGGGGAGGGGAGCAGGGCCCTCAGCTTTTGCTGAGTCCCAGAGTCCTTAAAGGGAGGGGGTGATCAGGAAGGACGGAGGAGAGGGTCTTGGCCACCAACAGACACCGTAAACTTTGGTTTAAAACAATAACTTAAGTGGAGGGAGGAGTTCCAGCCTGGGGCCGGGGTGGGGGGGTCGAGGGGAGTGGGGTATACGGGAGGCGACAAAGGAAAAAGCCAACAAAAAGTTTTGGTTTTTGCTTCCGGCTTAAGAAAGGTCTTTGGTCATCCGTTTAACTGGGGGTGA